ACATACTCACACATACATACAAACAAACAAACAAACATGAGAAACAGGATCTCAAGTGGCAACTCGGGTTGAGTCGAAAGCTGGACAGGTAGATCAGGATTCCCTTTTGACCCCCATGTTGCCCAGCGCGATTTATTCAGGCGATTCCGGGGAGGGCAATTTGATGCTGGGGGAGATATCTCCTTTTTTTTAGACATCACTCAGGTGCTTTTGGGGCTTTGGGGTCACAGGGCTGATTCCCAATTCTCTTCTTCCACGTCCGTGTCAGACATCAGCACTCTCTGATTGCTTTTTTTTACATTCTCTCCAAGACTAGTATGGAACGCGTTGTAACTTGTAACTATATGAGCATGGGTCAAAATCCCGTACCCCCCAGTGAAAATCCCAATCCCCACTAAAGTAAGCCAAAATGGGTGGTGGTGCACCTACCCCAAAATGGGATTCCATTGGTTTTGACCCACAGCCATATGATACCCATGTGCCACCCCTAACGCCCGAACTCCCGAAAAGTCACTCGAGAAGCGGCTCCACGTGAGCGGGGGCCACCACCAGCAAACAAGACAAGACAAGCCACGCCAAGCCAAGCCAAGCAAACAAGAAACCAAACAACAAACAAACAAACAAACAAACAAACAAACAAACAAACAAACAAAAAGAAGCCAGCAAAAAAGCAAGCAAGAAAGCAAACAAGCAAACAAACATGCAAACAAACTGCCAACCCCACAAACAAAGGAGAAGCACCCGATCCTCTTGTTTTTGACAAGTATCGTCATAGCCCTCTCGGGGATCCAGTTTGTGGTGGAAATCTCACTCACCCGACAAACCAACCAAAGCCGTTGCTTTCAACAAATAGGATTCCTGCATGCTCACAAATTGTAGGGCTGTTTCCACAGAATTTCCTGCCCTGTGTAACCTGCCATGCCCCTTCTTGTCACACAGCTTCTCACAAGATGCTGCCAATTCTACAATCCGTCCAAACCCAAACAAAGGGATTCTCAAGTAAAGAGCCTACGTCCTGGTGAGTCACTGGTGAGCCTGTTTCAGCCCAGGTAAACTCGCCAGCAAATAGGCAGCTCCTTGTTTGGACCGCGGAAAGCGATACAAGTTCTGACACAGGACCATATCCCCTGCCCCAAAGCCAAAAAAACCCAACACGTCCTCACACCCAAAAATGCAAGAAGCCTTCAGAAGGCCTTCTTCTTGGCCCTTGGTCATATCGAGGTGTCCTTGTTTTAGGTCCCCTTTGTTTTGGGGCGGGGAGGTCCCCATGTTGAGACATACCGAGTCCTGTTGGCCATGAGCCTCAAGCCCCGGTCATTGGGGGGGCTCCTTGGCCGTGTGGTTTGCCACAGCTCCCGTGTTTTGCCTCACCGTCCACAAGCCCCAGATGTGGTCGACGCGAAGAAATGCAAAACGCGGCAACCATGGGTATGTCGCTGCCCCCAGGGCGCGTCAATATCGCAGACATTATCAGCCACGCCTTCCTTCCAAACAAAATTCATGGCTGCGATGATCAGAATGATGTAGACGATCATGGACAAAACCTCCCAAATGCACAGCGGTGAGGAACTATAAGTGTTTTGGAGTTCTTTCTGCGATTTGTTGCTTCTCGTCCACATGGAACCCGCCAGAGGGTCCCTTTCGGAGGAAAATGGTCTTCTAAGGCAAGTTCAAAGCTTCGCTTTGTTGAAAATCATGCATTCCAACGTTGAGAGCCAGCTCAAGCTCGGGAAAATTGGGCCTGCAAGTGGCCAAGTGCCAAAACACGTGTGTGTGTGTGTGTGTGTGTGCTAAACTCGAGAGGAGACAAAATGCTTTGCTTCCTTTTGGCTTCGCTTACAACACCGTCCAAAACTCACACGCCGTAGCCAGTTGGCAGTTGGCGCCCGGACTTCTCAACCACCAAGCACACCCGTCACACTGGTCCACTAAAAAAACACCCCTGTCACACTGCTCCCGCAGGCGAAACAAAATACCTAACAAGTACACCCGTCACGCTGCTCCCGTCTCCCGTAGGCTCACCTAATAAGCACACCCGTCACACTACCGTCACACTGCTCTTGTAGGGACCAACTAAGAAGCTGGCTGTACCTACACTGAACACGTCTGGGTTTGCTAACCCCGCTTAAGGTCACTGGCCTGCCGGTCATTTCAGAATCCCGTGCAGCAACTGGATAGGGCGCGAAAAATCAGGAACCCTACCACCCCACCTCAAAGACCCACCCGACTGCCCAACCATGGAGGCCGGCAATAAGCTTTGGCGGCTTTTCCCCCCTAATGCTTCCTGGGGGGTCTTTCGGTTAGTGGCGTCCCTAGGGGTCTCCAAATCACCATTTGGACCAAGATTGAGCTTTACGACCACCAAAAGGCTCCCAAAGTCGCCTAACTTGGAGGTAGGGCACTCGCCATACCCACCCCATGTCCAGTTACCAAAGGCCAAGGGAAGGATGGTTCCGCCAACGTAAGCTTGGAAGACCTCCTGATGGGTCCCATTTTGGCCCTAGGACAGCACGACATGTCACCGGAAAGCGGAGACGACTCAAACCGATGCTCAAGGATGTACTTTTTCACTTACCCATATGGAGAACCCAACTGGGAAAGTTCCTGAAAGAGGATTTCCCTCTCAAGGGACCTTGTGATGTGCTTGTCGGTGTGAGGGTAAGCCCATCATAAGGCATCTTAAGGAGGGCCTTGGAGGGCAAGTTGAAATTGCAGTCCAATCCGTATCTGCTTTGCATCCAAGACGCGCTGAGCTGTTTCTTGTCATCCATTTTGATGAACTGGGTTGTTCCAGACTCAGTGCCAAGTACCCGTTGTCGGTAGATGTCATCACCTCAGCCGCATCAAATCTGGGTCCTAGAGGAGGGCTTGCACCCCATTCACTAGAAACGCGATATCTCCATGGGTGTGGAGCCCGCACTTGCACCAGTCCTTCTCTCTTTGATACACTCAGTCAGGCAAGTATCATAGCCAGATTCAGTCTCCAAACTGGTGATTTTGGATTGAGGAGTTGGATCGTTAAGTTGGCGACCCAGAATAAATACATGCTGAGGTCAGACTAGTCGCCTATGTTTTCGGATTTCTTGGGCAATCAAGAAACCTTGAGGGGAAGGAAGGCTATTGTTGGGGGGGGTCTTGTGTGGCAAATCAAACCAAACGCCGGCTTTTGGAAAAGGGATCTTTTGGAGGGATTCGTAGACTTCTCTTTATGTTGAGTTTTTCTCCGGTTGTGTTTTTCTCGTAAACTGAAACCCCCCCAAACCCCATCCATTGAGCTGCGAAACTTGGCCGAGACCTGCAATATCAGTTTCCCCTTGTTTGGTGGCTTGGGTTTGTGGATTGGAGGTTAGGGGGAAGCTTCCCACTTGGCTTACAAAAAAACCGACGTGTCAAACATTCAAATCACAAATCAAAGCCACCAATCAAGGGTTCCATGATACTAAACGGGCCAAATGAGGAGAGCTGCCGCTTCAATCTCTGGCTCCTGACACGTCCCCTTCTAACCTTCAATTGGCCCTTCGTCTCTGATTGTGACGCACACGATGGTTGCTCAAATCAAGGGTCCACTTTTGGACCCGCATGCTCAGAGGTCCAAAAGAAGGCATCGCCATTTCGAGCCTCACGTGAGCCCCGAACAAAATGTCCTGCTTCCCCAAGAGGGCTTAGGGCCCAGGCCCCCCTTGTCTCCCTCCACAAACTAACAATAGACTATTTACCAGCAATCCTGCCAGTTGCTCGCGTACACAAGTTGAGAGACCCGAAATGCTTCGTAACACATGGGTTCCTGTCGGATGCTACTCACAAGATTGTCCTTTGGCGCAAGCGATCGGAACCCATTTAAAACTGTTCAACGGCTCCCCTGACTAAGCGCCCGGCGGGACAAGCAGTCCCAATTATGGTCCAATTGTCGACCAGCCTTCGACTTGGGACCCGCCCCTTTGGGCTTTGACGCCATGGCTGCGGTCGAAAGGAAACCTAAGCAGAGACTGACCCAAACAAGAAGTGAACCTCTGCAAATTCCTTTGGGTGTTTGGAACCTATCCAAAAACAACTCCCCACGCGAAGGCTTCAGAACGACCTATTTTGAAAACCCCTAGTTGCACTAAATGACACACAGCAGGTTGAAACGATTGCGACCCCTTGGGATGGAGGCGCTTGTGGGGCCTGACACGTGCGGATCCAAGTTCCTTCACAGCTGCGATGCGCCACTGAAACAAAAACGTTGCGGCGCGCTCAACACATTTTGAAGCTGGCGCGGCAAGATACACCTCGCTTGAGCCCAGATGCAGCACAAGGTTGGCTGTTGTTTCATCGTTTTTGAATGAACTGCAACCATTCTTGGGGGGTCCCCCACTAAACACACACACACACACATTTGTCGAGCACCACTCTCTGGGTTTCACGCGGAAATTCACGAGACGAATTACTTGTGTAACTTTCTTAGACAATATCTTATAATTTGCTCGTGCAACTTTGTGTGCAAAACTCTCGTGTGTCTTCCTCGTGTGACTTGCTCTAGCAATCTCTGATGCAACTTGCTTGTGTAACTTGCTCAAACTATCTCTCATCTAGCTTGCTAGTGCAATTTAACTTGCGCCATCAGCACCACATCTTTCCCGAAACCTTGCGCAATGCTATCGGGGAAACAAAAACACACACACACACACACACACACACACACACACACACACACACACACACACACACACCTCTACCTGCCAAAAAAATGCAAGAAGCTTGGTCACAAAAAAACACGTGCAAGAAGGTATGTTGGAGGGACATTCTGGTCGGAGTGTAGCAACAAGGCAATTTCATGGGCTCAAAGGACAGTGGCAGCTAGTTGCACATTGCAATGTTTTTCAACACTGGTTGCTGGGCGCTCAACTCAGCTCAAATCATATTGCTCCCAATCAGCCAAACCCAAGTATAATTTTTTTAAAAGCGGGCTGGCCTGCACCCGCTTGACCCTCTGCGGGAATTGGTGGTTGATGTGCAGAAACTGCGCCGCCGGCCTTGGGGCACGCGCCAACATGCCAGCTTTTGGGTGCGCAATACGGCTGGCGACTTCATTGGAAGTTCTCAATTGTCAAGAGATGGCAAGATGACGTCCCGTGGGACGCTGTCCACCGAGCCTCCAGCTGTGCGTACTCAACCACGTAGAAAGCGTACACGGCCAAACCGTTATAGCCAAACCAGTGCAAACTGTTGTAAGGGGTAAAGCCCAATAACCACAATTGCACACTCAATATCAGCAGCGCGAATGAACCTGTTTTCTCTCTCACAGATCGATCACAGGCGAACGTAGTTCATGCAAGACCCTGAGCCCTACTTGTAACTTGAGCCAAAAATGGCAACCAAAGGGACGTTCCAATCAACAAGAACATGGACCTCAGAACGGCTTCCCAATTTAGGCACGGGGCCAGGAGGGTTTTAACATCCCCCATTTGGGTCGCACTGTTCATCATGCGGTCCAAACATCACCGATTACGAAACTTTGTCGAACATTCTTTCATTCACTACTGCAATGCCGTTCATTCATTGTGAAACTCAGCCGGGTTCGATTAAACCAAAACGTGCGTCCGCAGATCGCAGCACATCTCTATACACAGAAGCATGAGGCATTATACCTCGTACCACAACACAGCCATCGGAGATCCCAGCTGCCGCATTTGCGCATCGCGCAGCTGTCATCCGTGGGAATGGGTTGGCCGAAGAAATCCATAGCAGTGCATGATTGGCGCCACGCTGACCATCACCGGGGCGGCCTCCGCGGGCCCGCTGGACTGCGAGAGCCTGGACTGCACCTTCACGGCCACAAGCGGTGGAGTGTCGACGGGCAGCGTGGTCTGCGGCGATGCGACGAGCTCGGGCACGGTCTCCGCGCCGCAGCTCTTCGCCTCCAACACGCTCATCGTGACCAACACCTCCGACTTCTCGGACGATCTCTTCCTGACGAAGAACTGGGCGGGCTGGAGCAAGCTGCAGATTTCCAACAACAGCGCGGCCTCCGACAGCGGCCCGGAGCTGCGGCTGCTGGGCAACCAGAGCGCCAGGGTCTTCCTGGAGCGGGACGGCGGGACGCACCAGTGCGAGCTTATCATGATCAACGATGAGGCGCTGGTGCAGACGAAGAGCCTCTTGACGCAGCTGTCCTTGACCACGAACCAGAGGAACCCCGGCTGCCTCGTGATCGCGGGCAACACGGGCAACGTGGTCTGCGACACGAGCTTCACGGACTTGTCGGACAGCAGGGTGAAGACGAAGATTCGGGCCGACGTGGCTGAGCTCCAGCAGCTCTTCGACTTGTGGAGGCCAAGCAGTACAAGCGCCCGGACATGAACGGGGACCTGAGGCTGGGCTTCGCCTCGGACGACTTCGCAGGAACAAAGTGGAAGAATTTGACGGGGACCACGCGGTGGAGCGACGGCACGGAGATGGTCACCCTCGACTACTCTCACCTCACCAGGTGCTCTGGGGGGTGTGCAAGGGCTTCCAGGCCCGGCTGGACAAGGTGGAAGCCTGGCAGGCCCAGCGGGGGCCGAAGAACCCATAAGAAACATGGCCGACGCCCGCAGGCGAACCATTAAGGCCGTCTACAAGGATCCCCGCACCGGTTTCGGCAGCATAGCGCAGACGCTGCAGCAGGCTCAGGTGCGCGACTCCAGCATTTCCAGAGAGGAGGTAAAGGCGTTTCTGGACGGCCTCCGGGTGAACCAGGACCGGCCGCAAAGAGGCTACAACAGCTTCGTGCCTCTGGAGCCCATGAACCAGCTGCAGGTGGACCTGGCCAACATAAAGCCCTTCGGGGGCAAGCCATACCCCTTCATGCTGGTGGCCATTGATGCGCTGACCAAGAAAGTGGCCGCGGAGCCGCTGAAGGACCGTCTTGCGAGCACCACCGCGGCGGGCATGAAGAAGGTGTTCCAAGCCCTGGGGGTGCCGGCCAACGTGTACTCCGACGACGGCTCCAAGTTTAAGAGGGAGTTCAAGGAGCTGATGAATTTCTGGGACGTTGAGAAGAGGTAACCAGGGGCCACTTTGCGGAGCGCACCATCCGCACCATCAAGGAGGCGCACGCTACCACGCAGGTGGCGCCGAACCTTGCCTACTCTGACACCAAAATGGCCGAGATTGCTCTGCGCAACATCAAGCGCAGGGCCAAGCACAAGGTGACCCGCCCGGAAATAAAGGTCGGGAATATGGTTCGGATCAGGGTTAAGCCGATCGAAAGCAGGGGCTCCTACAGGGTCAACAAGATTGCCTGGAGCAAAAAGGTATACGGGGTAGCCTCCGCCGAGAGCGGGGAGATGGGGGCGACTTGGAGGGGTGGCCGAAAAAGGTGTTGACTGTGCCTCTTCTACCTGTCCCACAGCTGCGCCCGCCCTCACTGACAAGCTTCTTCACGTCGGGTTGGGGCGGGGGCTCGGACAGGCCCCCGTGATCTAGGACCGCGTCCCACGCGTCCCACTTTCCGCCCCACGTCTCATGAGCCTCAAACCAGCGCAGGGCAAGCTCTGCCGCTGGGAGCGCGTGGCCGGAGCGTAAGAGCCGCAGAGACGTGGTCCTCACTCATGATTTCCTCCAGGTCCACGTTTGCAACGAGGCATTTCTCGAGGCGTCGGACTTCCGCTTCCTTACCGAGCAGATGCTTGTTGAGAAGCTCGATGCGGTGGCGCTGGTGCGCGCTTGGCCTCAAGCAGCGCGTCTTCGCGAGGCCGCTTGGCGGGAGGCCGCTGGGCCATCTGAGCAGCCGCAAGGCAGGGATCGTCCGCCCACGCAGCAGGCTTCTCCAGAAGCCATGCCTGCACGCATCGGAAGGCCTTGGAGAAAGTCATCTTAAGCAGCTGCGGCGGGTTTTTGTGAGCAAGCATTTGGGACCATTCAAGGATTTGGCGGCTTTTTTTCTAGCGACGCGGCGCTCCAGCGCCTTACGGCGCCAAGTCTCACGGTTGGCCTCCCCCTCAAGCAGAGCAGCCTTCCGCGCCATCTGCAGTTCCGCCAGATATCGCTTAGCGTTCACAGATTTGCTCCAGCATCCCGAGGAGAGTTCCACAGCGCGCAGCTTCGGCGAGGAGATCCTTTCGAAGGACCTCGATGGGAGCGTCATCCTCCACCAACGCGGCGGGCTTCTCCATAAGCCATGCCTGCACGCATCGGAAGGCCGCCGAGGAAGTCATTTTGAGCAGCTGCGGCGGATCGAATCATTGAGAAAGCGAGAAAACGAGAGCTCGGGATTTTTTTTGCTTACACGTCCTTGAGCTCATCTGTCACAGAGTTTCGCCGAGAAGCTCCCAATCGAGCTGCGCGATGAGATGCCGCTGGTGCGAGCGCTCGGCCTCGAGCAGCGCGTCCTTGCGAGGCCGCTCGTAGGGAGGCCGCTGGGCCATCAGAGCAGCCGCAAGGCAGGGAGCGTCATCCTCCACCAACGCGGCGGGCTTCTCCATAAGCCATGCCTGCACGCATCGGAAGGCCGCCGAGGAAGTCATTTTGAGCAGCTGCGGCGGATCGAATCATTGAGAAAGCGAGAAAACGAGAGCTCGGGATTTTTTTTTGCTTACACGTCCTTGAGCTCATCTGTCACAGAGTTTCGCCGAGAAGCTCCCAATCGAGCTGCGCGATGAGATGCCGCTGGTGCGAGCGCTCGGCCTCGAGCAGCGCGTCCTCGCGAGGCCGCTTGCGTTGCATGTCGCAGGGAGGCCGCTGGGCCATCAGAGCAGCCGCAAGGCAGGGAGCGTCCTCGTCCGCCCACGCTGCGGGTTTCTCCAGAAGCCATCTGCACGCAGCGGAAGGCCGCCGAGGAAGTCATCTTGAGCAGCTGCGGCGGATCGAATAAGCATTATCGAGAAAGCGAGAAAACGAGAGCTCGGGATCTTTTTTTAGCGCGTCCTCAAGCTCATCATCACGCGAGAATCTCGAGGCGCTCCACCCGCCGGCGGATGTTCTGCGCTCCAGCTCCGCAACGCGCTGCTCCGCCCGCACCGCTCGCTTGCGG